ACGACCTCTCTTCTGCAGTAAAATGTCATGCCAGTTCATTCCTTTTATTTGTTCTGCACTGACGAGGCTCAAACTCTCACTGAATTAGTCCAGAGAGATTTATTTCCTCCAAATTTTGAATGGCTTAAGAGAGATTGGGGTGGAGGGGGCTGTCACAGGGGAGGCAGCCTGCAGGGAAGAGACCTGGGAGGGAGAAGTGAGCTGCTCACATGGAGGTCAACTGTCCTCAGCTCTTTGGAAATCAAGTCTAGTGGCCATCTCTCACATCTTGTTCATATCTTCTGGGCACCCGGACCGAGTCTCCACATTCCTGCATTTAGTCTCCACAATGGAAGAGACCTGGACAGTGAAAAAGGACCTCCTTAAAACCCATGCTTAGCCTGGCATGGTGGCACACGCCTGTAATCCCAGGATTAAGGGAGGGTAAGGCAGGAGAATCTCAAGTTTGAGTCCTGTCTAGGCAACTTGGCAAGACTCTGTCTCAAAATAAATAAAAACGTCTTGGAATGTAGCTCAGTGATAGAGTGTCCCTGGGTTTGGTCTGAAAAACAAAAAACTATGTTCTGGGGCTGAACATGTAGCTCAATGGTAGAATGCTTGCCTAACATGCATGAAGCCCTGGCCTCAACTTCTAGTACTAAATAAATAAATAGGCAAACTGCTGCTCTGGAAGCCCAAGTGCCCATGTCTAAGGCAAAAATCCCTCTCCCTATTCTATCCTCACTTCAGACAGAGCCCTTCCTGGCCCGAGTAATTCAGAAGCCAGCTCCTATGAATGCTGCCCTGTTCAGGATGGTCCCAAGCCTACAGCCCAGCCTGCTGGAAAGGACTGCCAGGGTCCTCCCACCCTTTCTGTTTTATAGGGAGATGTTGGAGGGTAGCTTAGAAAATACAGGTCTGCCTCTAGGCAAGGACAGACTGGGTACCTGAGGAAGTAGCAGGTGACTCTCCCATAACTAGAGTGGGAATGCAGCCACAGCCCTCCCCCAGCAGGGTGGCTGTGAAGCAGCCTGTCTGCTGGGAGGGGTCTTGTCTCAGCAGTCCCTGTGTGTGAGGTGGTGGGTAAGCAGGGAGCAGTCGAGCTCCTCCCCAACCAATCCAAGAGGACGGTATGGGAGCCCCAGCAGCCCCACCGGTCCTGTGTGGTTCCTAGGAGAAGCCATGGGTAAGCTCAGACACCCTCTGAAATCAAACAGGCAGACGGGGCTCCTGGGATCAGTTGGAGGAAGCAGACACAGAAGCCTGGGGAGGGAAGGGGATGAGAAGAGAGACTGGGGTGTGACAGCCACCACTGCTCATTACCGTCCTGCCCCAAGTCCCCAATGCCCAGCTGGGAAGGGCTGGAGGGAGGTGGCCTGGCCAACCTCCATGTAGTCCATGCTGTGCTCAGTGGACCTGGAGGACAGGTGGCCAGCTCCTATCTTCTAAGAGATACCAGAAGACATGGAAAACACCCCAGAGGGGCTGGGGGAATAGCTCAATGGTAGAGCATTTGGCTATCAAGCATGATGCTCTAGCTTCTATTCCTAGCACCACCAAATACACACACACACACACACACACACACACCCCTGGATATGCACCTCACATATCTCACATATACCTGTTCTGGGGACACCTGACAGGAAGTGAAGGAGGTTTATAAAATGGACCCATGCCGCAGCTCTGCATAGAAGATGCACGTTGTTCCCAGCGTGTACAATGCCCCCGGCCATGCAAGCCCAGATATCTGAGGCCTGTGAGGCACCTCACAATCTGACTCCTGTTGTCTTGCCTTTTCCACTCTCTCCCCTCCTCCCCACCTGGCTGCAGCCACACTCAGCTAGATTTGGTTCCAGAAGCATGCCAAACTCACTTCCACCTCAGAGGCTTTGCTTTCCCTCTTGCCTCAAAGGCCTTTCCCTCCACTCTTTGCATGACCAACCCCTCATCAGTCAAGGCTAAACTTAAATGTCACCTCCTCGAAGAGGCCCTCCATTCCCACTCTCAGAAAAGCCACTCCTCCCTGTAGGGCAAGGACAGAAGTGAGAAGATGCCCTCCTCTTCCTCCCACCCCCAGTGCTGATAGCTTGAGGTTCAGTCACACAGACCCCACCTGCCCACCCCACATGCCGCTCCTGCTGTGTACACAGAGCACACAACCCTGCATACATGCTCATACAGATAACACAATGCATGCATACATGTGTTCATAGCACACAAATCTGCCCTGCAGTTGCATGCATGCAGCCCTATGTGCATCCATACTGTATAAACACAACACCATGTGTGCATACACTCGTAGCCTTGCTCCCTTGCCAGCCTGCATTCAACCTCAACACGCGCGCACACACACACACACACCCTGTCACCTTTCCACTCAGCAGCTGCCCACGCTCCCTCCAGCCATCGAAAAGGAATGTGCAGTGACCTCGAGGCTGCTACGGGTTGGGGTGGGGGCTGCACCCCCACCACCTGGCACGATGCTGCGGATTATTAGTTCCCGGTAATTTAGTGCCCTTGTACAGAGTCGATTTGTGCCTTTCATTCCTAATTGATCTAGTGGCTGTTTAAATGGCAGCAGGCATCTGTTGAGAGTAGGAAGGTTCATAAGGTGCAATAATTCATAACACCGTCTGGAATTTGCCTTTCATGGCCCTCAGCTAAACCACTGCCGGGCTCTGCTTAAATTACAGCCACTGAGGCTTTCTTTGGTATTCCACTCAGGGCCAGAAGAATCTTGCATTAAACTGGGATCAGGCTAGATTAGACCATAATATGCTGCAGTGTTAGTGGCTGCAAATGAAGACTTATACTGGAGTTTAACCCCTTCACCTGGTGTTCTCTTTGTCTTCAGCCAGATGGCTAAATTCACCCATTGTTTTCCCTGCCAATTTTCTACTGGGGCTCAACAGATCTTCTGGTAATTTGGTGCTGTGGATGAACCACCCTTAAATACTGATCCTCTTTCCTGCAGCCTTGGGGCCCAGGGGTTTTTGCATCAGCTCCCAAAACAAGGGTCAGGGAGATAATGTCCAGGGCTGACTCTGCCAAGCCCAGCAGCTCATATGAATCAGGACTTTATCATTCTTCAGCCCCCACCACCCTGAGCCTGAGTAGAAAGATGCTTAGAGTATGGATGTGAGTGTGGATGGAGCTAAGCACGGTTTGTCTTTGTCTCCAGAATGGGACAGGCACCTAGGAGTTCCCCTTCCCACCTACAATCACTGTAAGTACTATGCAGTCTGGATGTTCAGTTCTTCTCTCAGTGTCTCCAGGGCTGGAAGGGAAAAATATAGTCTATTTTCCTTTTCAGTACTTCCTGTGTTTTCCAATACAGTAGCCACCAGCCACATGTGGCTATTTAAATTTAAATTAATTAAAATTCAATATAATTAAAATTCGGCATCTTTAATTCCAGTAGTCGTATTTCAAGTGTTCATTGGCCTCAGGTGACTCATGGTTACTGTGTTGGACAGTACAGACTGCAGCATGTTTCCATCACTGCAGGAAGTTCTACTGGGCAGCACTGGCAAGAGCATTCCCTCTGGCAGAGGCCCTCAGGGTCAGGTCCAGCACACAGTCCTCCTCCTCTCCCAGCAAGCAGGGTTTTATCAAAAGGAAAGGAGCTCAGTTTTGGGGTTTTTTGTTTGTTTATTTTTATTTTTTGGTACTGGGGATCAAACTCAGGACCTTGTGCTTGCCAGGCAGGTGCAGCACCACTGAGCTAAAACCCCCAGCAGGAACTCAGTATTATAGTCCAGGAATCTGAGGAGACAGACCAGAGAGGGATATATGGATCTCAAAGGAAAGAAATGGGTCTTTCCAAGATCCCAGATTAAAAACCCAGCCAAACTCATGCACACACACTACAGAAATAAATATGATAGGCACTTATGCATGCAAAATAAGTATGCATATGTGTAATACATGTATTCAACAAATATTTATGGAGGTCCACTTATCTCTGCTAGATATTCAGTGGTAGGTAAGGTAGGCTTTATTCCTGCTTAGATTCTAAGTGAGGAAGGCAGATGATAAGATAAATAATTTGGGTACTATTGACATAAGTCGGGGGTGGGCAGTCAGGGAAGCTTCCAGGAACTGGTCATCTCTAAACTAAGACCCTCAGAGCCATCAGGTAAGCACTTCAGCTCATGTACATACATCATAGATATGCATACTCCTCAGTCATTGATTCATTCAATCGTTTACCAAATATTTATTAAATGCCTGCCATGAGCATAGGTGGAAAGATCTAGGGATACAACAATCATTAACATGGGGACAGTCTTGGAGGAAAACAGAGATACAAATAATCATTTATTTTATCACAGCTCTGCTCAGGCTATAATAAGAGAAAAATGTAGGGAGATGTTGCACATGTATTTGGAGTGTCTGAGCTAAACTGAGTCTCCCAGCAGACACTGTACAGGTCCGTGTAGATCAGTATTTGGGCTCACACACATACCCTATGCATACACTTGCAAATACAAGAGTGTTTATACACATCTGCTTCCTTCAGCTGGTTATGGATAGTATGAAAGTGTGTGTGTGTGTGTGTGTGTGTGTGTGTGTGTGTGTGGTTGTATGATGTGTATAGGTGACCAGGCATGCTTGACTAAATGGTTCTATGGGTCTTAGCATGGATATCACCTACAATTGATGTTCATGTCCCGGACTTCTCTAGACACTTCCCACATTTCCTTTCTGGGCTAACTCTGAGCCAGAAGTGGACACCTTCTTCTGTGAAGGATCATAACCCATCATCTCTTTCCAAATATCCATGCAGCTTATTTGATGGAAGAGAAAAGATAGGAGCCCTCAGAGGCCCTGGGGACTGGGACACTGGACTCTGTACCAGAGCAGAAAATGCTGCCAGCTAGGCTGCCCTTGGGACTAGGGGCATCCTCAAGGAGTGGGAACTTGGGAGAAGAAGTGACGGGGATCTGGGAAAGTGAGCCTGGCTAGCAGCATGGCCTCTGTGTGTGCGTGTGTGTGAGCTCTTGATGTCCCCGCAGGCACCCTCTTTTCCCGCTCCTGACGCTGCTGTTTGAGAAATGTGAACAGGCCACCCAGGGCTCTGAGTGCATCACCTCCGCCGGCTTTGATGTGGACATCGAGAACTTTGTCCACCAGCAGGAGCAGGAGCACAAACCCTTCTTCAGCGATGACCCAGAACTGGACAATCTGGTAAAGACCCTCCACCCCACACCTTGGCTAGAGTCTTCCTGCCCTCTGATCCCCCTGAAACACCCTAGAAGTGTTCTTTTAATTAATTCATCCAACAAAAAGATTTGAGTTACCTCCCCATGAGGAAGGCTCTAAATGCACATTCTAGTGCCTTCTAAATTTGTAAACCAAGAGTTCCAGGCACAGGCTTTGCTGCTCAAGTTCCTCTTGTTCTTGCCCATGGTGCCACCAGCATCTGACTACCCACCACTCTGAAATACAGGCAAGTAGAAAGAAGGAGGTATCAGCCAGAATGTCTTAAGATAGCTGTTTCAAGGCATGTACCAGCACATTAACAAACCTGTCTGGACCTTCCCAGAGTAAAGCTGATGGCTCACACACCACCAGATGGAGGTTGAGGGTCACCAGCATGTTCAAGCATATCAGTAGAGAGAAAGACCTGGGGAAACAGTCATGCTGAGAGCACCAGCAAAGATCTTGTTCATTCAGGAAACCCAGCAGATCAGGCTCCCAAACAGTTCGCCATGCAAGTTATCACTATAGCGTATGAAGTGCGTCCTCCTGGGCTGCACCAGGAAATTATGACTCAGTAGATTACAAGTTTCCTGGGCCACTGCAGTCATCGGTTAGACTTGGTGACTCCTGGGTTGGATGACATCTGAAATTCTGGGAACTCTGCAGCAGTAGGGCATTAGAGAACCGGCTCTGTATGTCCATCACTCTATGTAATCCTTCTGAAATTATTAACCTCAGTTCCTTATTTTTCTGTGGATGGATTACTCAGATTATGCATGGTGAATTTGGAAACTGCAAAACTCTTCCCTCACACACTGATTGATGATAATGCTGACCTCTTGCACCCAGAGTTTAGCTGGTGCCTGTTCCCAAAAGGAAAACAGAATTAGAAAAGCAAATGTGACACTAGAAAGGAAGAAAAATGCATCAGCAGAACAGATGTATATAACTTGGTATTATTCTGTGTTGTGAATTATCCACACTACTGCTTCTCTCAAGAGCTGAATGTGGTACTTTATGGGGTACAAAAGTGCTATGAAGAGAACCTACCCTGGCCCGGAAGTCTGTGGAGTGCTGTGATGGGCTGTCATTTAGAGAGTGGGACTAGGTCTCTGCCAGAGAACCAGTGCCTGCCCAATGTTAGAAGCATTGGTAGAGGCATTGAGAACCCCAAATATGCCTCTGCTCATCTCTGGCCTTTGCTTTTCCCTGGCAGGAATTAAGCAGACCAACCTTCCATGAGGCCGGATCCCTGTCTTTGAGATGCCTGGGAAGCTTCCCTGTGCAAGGTCTCCAGGTTGACTGCTATGTGCAGGCTAGCCTGGCCCTGCCCTGTTCTTTGGTTAATTGAAGTGCAGTTGGAAGGCAGGTAGATCTGTAGAACCCAAACCCAGGCATCCTTGGAGCCAGGAAATGAGCCATTTCCACAGGAATGAGAATGAACCTGGAGAGTAAGGGGTAGGCCTCACTCTTCTCATTTAACATAAAGAGAAATAAAATAAAACTGAGTAATGTGAAGGAATTTAAACCTACTTGTGATGCAGGAGTCCTGGAAAAGCAAACCTCACATCCCTTGTTGACCTCCACCTTCCCAGTGAGCTATAGGAGACCCACTGAAGACAGCTTCCTGTTCTGGTGCAGCTGGAAAAATCAAAAAGTGCCCAGAGTCATGCTCTGCCCTTGACACTCCTGCCCAGATCTCTCAGGGTTCTGTTCATTCAAAGAATCAGATTTCTTAATTCAATCCAAGAAAACTGGGTTGAGTGGACTGCTTTGTGCCACCCCTGAATTGGGGACAGGGGTGTTGTAGAAGCTGCCCTAGTGGCCTCAGGCCTCTGGTGTCCCTGGTCCTCTATTTCAGTGACCAGACTGGGAGTGGTCCAGCTAGTGGAGCAATCCTTAGTCCATCTGCTGGTGTGTTAACCATAGTCAGTGACTGGTTAACTATTGACTGGTTGATTGAGTGATTGATTATGAAAATGGAGAGATTTGAAAAAGCACTTAGAAACAAAAGATCTGAACCTCGCATTACCATGTACTATTTGTGTGACTTTGAAGGCTGAGCTCCTTTGAAGCTCGGTTTCCTCATCTGTAGAGTTAATACACCTATCTCATATGATTGTAATAAAAACTTAATGAGATGACTTATGGAATTGGTCTTTAAAGGTGCCTGGCATCAGGAAGATTAATCTCAAATGCAATATCCCTATGCCAGGCAAGATGTTCCAGCTCCTCAGCCTTACTTCCTGGCCACCAGGGACTGTGTGATCGGGACTCTGAAACTTATTTAGGGGAGTGGACCAGTGCCCTTTGCTGCCCCCACTCTGGTCCTGTGTAGGGCAGACAGATGAAGAGGCCAAGCACAGGGACCATCATTAGAACAAGAATCATGTCGCCAGCACAGCCAAGATGCACATAATTAGAAATTAGAAAAAGGTCAGATAGCGTTATTACCAGCTCAATCAGCTGCCGAGTGCCACAGCCAGTTAATTTGGCATCTGTATTTTTTACAACCCCGCACACGTAGCCCAACGGACTGTAACTCTTTATCCGGACAGATATACTGCGAAGCCGAGCAGGGATATAAAATGAGGGACCCCAAGCAAATGAGCTGAGATAATTGAGAGATTTATTTTTTATACATGTGTGTGTCAGGGTGGCTTTCCTTTGCCCTTGAATACTGACTTTCACAGATGGGATTGTCAGGAGGCCACTTGGGTCCCCAAAAACTTAGCCTCAAAGAAGGTTGCTTCCAAGAGGGGTTCGCGACCCCGTTTTACAGAGGCAGAAGTTGAGGTGCGGGCGCCAGGGGTTTGTTTATATAATGTGTCTTCTCTTTGAGTCTTTTTAAAAGTGCATTCAATAAAAGTGTAATGAGTATAAAAAAAAAAGAAGGTTGCTTCCTCCTCCTCCTGCTCCTCCTCCTCCTCCTCCTCCTCCTCTCCCTGCCCCACCCTCAAGCCCCACTCCGGCCCTGTCCTGCTTTCTTCAGCATTTGGACACCATCCTGCCCATCCCTAGCTAGTCTCCCTCCCCTTCACCGTGCACATAGCTTGTTGCACTCTCCCGTGACCCTGCAGTCTCTTAGAGCTGCTTTTCCAGAGAAGACCCCTTGGAAACAGGTGAGTCAGCTCTCCCGAGCGAGCTGCGCCAAATATCAAGATCAGAGAGAGCCCAGCTGCAGATTTCTGAGAGGCTCCCCTCCCCTGTGAGCCTCGTCCCCTGCTCCACAGCTCCCCTAGCCAAGGGGAAAGGGAGTCCCACGGCCCTGGAGAGAAGCAAGTCCACCCCGTTTTACAGACAGGGGTACTGACATCCACCGAAGTGACTTGTCAGGACTAGGAAGGACCCAGGTCTCCTGACTCTGTGCTCCTTTTGCTGTCATTCACAACTCTTCTCCCTGGTGGCAGTAGAGCCCTCACAGATAAGACAATGCCACCAATGCCATCTCTCCTCCTAGCACCCAACTCTGACCCTCTCTTCCTGTCACCATGCCATGCAGGCAGCTTTCCACACTCATAGCCACTAAGCTGGGATCCCAGCTGAGCTCCCTGAGGAGAGGGCAGTCCCAATTCCCGCGCCCCCTACAATGCTCACCAGGCTTATTTCTTACCTGGCCCCCAGATCCCCTCCTTGGAACCCAGCAGCCTCTGACTGGCAGTTGGTAAAGTTTGTAAAATTTGCAAGTTCCCCAAACCCCTTTGAAAGGTAAAAGCTTTTTGTTTTATAAAATCTGATTTACAGGCCCCTGGTGCAGGGCCAAGGTTTTATATATTATGCAAGATTTCAAACTAAAGCTGTAAAACGTACGGTTTCAGTTTCATGCATGGAATTTTTTTATGTGTAAATTTTTTAACATTTATGGGGCACGTTTTAATGAGACTCTGGTGTGGCTCGAGGGACAGATTACAGCTGCCTGACCGCAAAGCCAGCTCTAAAATGGGGCCTCCCAGGCCCTTGGGCCCATTCTGAAGAGGCAGGGCCAAAGGCCGGAAGCAGTGAAGGCGGAGGAACATGAAGGAGGCAGCCCAGGGCCCTGGGCCCACAGAGACCTCAGGCCAGCCTGGGTTCCCAAGTCACTTTCTCCAGCCTGCAGTCCAGGCTCTCCACCTAAACAGGAACAGAAAAATCTCTCAGACACCAGGAAAGGGAAAGAAAATAAGAATAATCAACGTTGGTAATAATTAACATTTATAGAGCACTTACCAAGTGCCAAATACCATTCTAAACACTTTACATCTATTATTCAACCTGCTTTCCAAACCCACAAGGCATGTATTAATGTTATCCCCATTTTTCACACCTGCCTAGCGTACTCAAGGCCCTAGGTTTGATCCCCAGCACTGAAAGAAGGAGAGGGAGGAAAGAGAGATAGAGACAGATGAGAGAGAGAGAGAGAGAGAGAGAGCGAGAGAGAGCTGGGTCTTTAGTTCATTTTTAGGCAAATCTCATTTAATTTTCAGTACAACTTTAGGGGGTGTCGCTGCCACCAGCTGCTCGGAATGGAATCCAGGGCCTTCCACACACATATGCAGGTGTTCCTCCACTGAGCTGGACCCCTGACAGATAGGAACCACTATTATTATCTTGTTTACAGATGAGGAAACTGTTCAAGGTCTCAGTGGCAGGAAACTCTCAACCCCCAAAGCCCATTGTCCTTGAGTACTCTGTTTGCTATTTAATTGTCACAATGCCCCTATGAAATACTTATTATCCCCATTTATCAGGGGAAGATTAAGGCCAAGTACCCTACAGCCAATAAGTTACACAATGGAGACTTAAGCCGAGTGAGTCTGACTTTCGAGGCCCAGTTTCTGTCCTCTGTGCCCATCTGCTTCTCCAAATTCTAAAGCCAATGAAGCAGAAGTGCTAGGTTCTTGACTCAAAGTGATTTAACTTGTCATGCATGATAGTTTCCATAAAATGTTCATTCTACCCCCCAGTCACCTGGCAGCTGCCCAGTTCCCAATATTTACCTTTCTTCT